ATGTCAATAACGGAGTTTTCATATATAGCTGCTATGATAGCTACTAGAGTGTTTGACAGCTTCCGGTTTTTGGCATTCTGGCTACGCATCACTCATTCACCAATGGGTCATGTGTAGGTGGATTTAGGAACTTCCCCTTCGATTCTATTGGCTCTAACGGTTCAAAAGAGATGTTAATCACCAAAATCGACCGAGGGGGGCCAGAGATATGGAAAATGCACCAAAATGACCCCAGAAGTGTTTTTTTTGCTAAACCTCTCTAAAAAGGTCAAATGTCACGTGTTTTGCATCAAAATGTTTTACTATGTTCAATCTGAATTTACTTTAAAATAAAATAAATCTATATTGATTCTGACTTTTCTACATCCAACTTACAGGTTTATCATTGCTTTGAGAAAAAAGATTATTAATTTACCCCTTTTAGAAGTGAAGTTATAGTCATTTGTTCTGGGAATGTCATTTTCGAGCCTGAGACCTGGAAAACAGGCTTGGGGCTTAACAGGGACGGACTGGGATTGAAATACACGGCACTGGTTTCAAATGAAATGTCAATTAACACACAATGCATCAGCCAGAATCTGCACAGCATCGTGAGTAAACCAGTCTACATTCATTATGACTGAATATGGAGGTTTCTCACAGTATTTGTTACCCACAGCTGCTTTATGGTATAAAAAGCTCCATCATTTCATGAAATCCCAGCAGCTCTACAGGCAGAAACAATGTTCACCTTCATTAGATCTGCTAAAATCACAGCTGATGCTACAGTCCAAACTCTACACACATCAGATGCTCAGTTATTATTTCATATTAATGAGGAAGAAGATGTCATCAACACCAATTCGGCCATTTTTGGAGGAAACCAGAAACTGCAGCCTATTACCTTAAGCTGTAAAAAACCCTTAAGCGGAACACAGAGGGAAGTATAGTAAAACTTTTCCACTTTAAACATTTTAAACATGGTTTGGAGGCTCTGTTGTGCTTGAACGGACACTCCTATGACCAACGAACAAAACAAAAAAAGGACCATGGGATTACATTTTATTCTTTTACACTAACAAGGGGGACGTAGAAACATCAGCAAGAGACGCTGACTGTGTTGAAACCATGGATGTTTAATAAGAACTGGATACAGCGTGGGAGGCGGGGTCTCGTTCTTTCCTATGAGAGATGCTCATTGGCTCATGAGGACAAAATGGCCCAACTTTTGAGAGAGCAAAACGTCACAGATTACCCAGCATGCCTGGCTGTCAGAGCAGAAGAACCCGTATGTGCGCTCACAGTGCATGCGCCCCTTAAGCCCCGCCCCCCGAGCTCTTACTCTCGGCTCACTAGAATGAATGGAGAGAGAAAATAAATCTAGATTCGGCTTTTAGTGCATTTTACAACTTTAAGGACCTAATTATTCAAATAAGGGCTATAAAATAATTTATACTGGGTAGTTTATTTAGTTAAAGAAAAATGATCCACCGATTTACAGACGTCTCTTTCCCCATGTAAGTCAATGGGAAAAAGTATTTCTGGGCCGGGTGACGTCACGGACTGATACGGAAGTTTTCGTACCGCCGTTTGGCTACTACGAATATTTTTCTCAGAGTCTCGAGCACTTCCTGGGGGCTTGGTTGAAACCCAATCTACTACACTGGGAATATGATTTTTTCCACCATTTTTGTAGCTTCTTTTTAATCCAGGCTCACAATCAGACACTTTTGACCTAGGTGTCCCAAAAACGTCCAGAATGTAAGAAAATCAAAACAAAGGGATTTATTTTGGAATTTGTTTGTAAAATCCCACTCATTGTGCGAGAATTATACGCTGAATGTGTTAAACTACATGAACACAAAGTACTACCCTGGGAATATGATCTTAAACAGGAAATGCCAGAGTTGATTTTCGAAGTTGTGTCCACCATTTGTGTAGCTTCTTCTTTGATCCAGGCTCACAATCAGACACTTTTGAATAGACCTAGATGTCCCAAAAACGTCCAGAATGTAAGAAAATCCACAACATATGATCCTATATTTTTATTTTTTAGTAAAATCCCCCCCATTGTGGCAGAGTATTAATAGAATCAGCTCCACATCCTGATCAGATCCCACTGAAGGGATTCACAGTCATTATAAGAGACAGCAGGAGAGCATAATGATGCTAACGCGCTATAATTACTACATACGCAGAGATTCCCTCAGGAAGTATCCTGCTCCACTTTATCTGTGATTGTAGAGATTTAATCAGTGTTTGCAGTGAGGGAAGCTGTTTACATGCCCGTAGCAAAGTATTAATGTGGATCGCTTTCTGAGGAACCACAGTGTGTGTTTAATGTTTCCTGGAAACTCTTTGTCATCTACTAACATGCAATCACTTTCAAAATGATTATTATAGTAACATATTTTCAGCTCAATCATTAGGATATAGGGAACCTCCAACGATGATATATACAAGATACTGAATAATAACAATGAGAATACATGCTTTACTTGCAGTTACAGCGACAATCTTTCATATTGATATTAATTTCTCTATTTTACTGTTGTTGGAAACTTACCTAAAATGTTTTATGGTCTTATTGTGAACAATAAGATCACATGACCCCTTCTGATGTTACTGCAGATCTGCTGTAAGCTAGCTAGCTAACGTAGCTAACCTAGTCATTTCAGATATACTTTTATATATTGGTTTGCAGCGTTTGGTTTCTGCAGCTTTTAGTTGCTGAAGATGTTTCTTCATGTGGAACATTTGGGTTTTTATATCTGCATCCTTTCTGAAGCTGCAGCTTGTTTATTCAAAGAGTTTCCACCTACAGTACAGACTTTGAGCAGATGAGTGGACAAACACTTCAAAAGCTAAAACTTGATGGTAAAATCATCTAATTATTTGCATACTTTGCAAACAAAGTGCCTCAATAAAGAGAGCCATTAATCACCGAGAAATAATAAATGCAAATAAACTAATGAGACCAGAGACGCCTCCTGCAGACAGACATTAGTGTCCTGATGGGTTCAAGTTAATATTTTAATAAGAATTACCCCCTAAAGTTCTTCCAAAGTCGTCAGTAAAGAAGTTGTGTTTGTTTCATATTCAGACACACACACACACACACACACACACACACACACACACACACACACACACACACACACACACACACACATATCACATCTGTCTTTTATTCAATGAGACGGATAAAAAACAAAGTTCTAAATCAAAATGAAAAGCTTAAAATGCACAGTTTGGATTAACGGTACATTTTCTGTATACATATATTCTACAGAAATGTGTCAGAGATGTGTCCTATAGTATTGTGGACTTTTTTAAGAATTTCTTATTTATCCAGAATATTTGATATTGTTTATATTTAATATACAAATGTTCATTGTCATTTAAATGTTCATTGTTAATTCTCTATTCCACTTTTTAAGTATTTGTATTTTAAGGTTGAACACACTGCCAAATTGGGATTAATAAAGTATATCTATCTTTCTAGACATTTGTTGTTTTTTGTACTGATTCCTTTATTTGATTTCCACTACTTTGTCTTACAGAATAAGTTATAATACATTATTATTATTAAAGGGTCCTCGTTCTGTTGATCTTCAGGAGAGGACCCTAAAAAGAAGAATAGAAAAACACTTTCAAATTGGGCACTAAAACAATCCCTTGCATTTAAAAACTAATTGGCAATAAAACCCCTTTTGATTTGGAAGTTGAACAAAAGTTTAAAATAAACCACGCAGAGTTTGTTCAATTAGATTAGACTTTACCTTATTTACATTTTGAACAACTTTCATTCTAAAAGACAAAAATAATCTTTCGTTCAGTTTGGTGTTAATGGTTCACACATGAAGACATAATTACACGCTTAACTCACGGAAAGAGAAGTAAATCCATGTGTAATTAGATTTCAGACCCTGACCTGAGTCTCTGCAGCTTTTTGAACATTCTGCAGGTAAACCTTGTGCACTTTAATCTGCGTCTCCTCACACGGCAGATCCTCAGAGTCAGGTGCAGAGACGCTGCTATGACCCTGTGTAATTCAAATTATCTCTGATAATTATCCTGTGACTAATGACATTCTGAAACGCACTGCACTGTGGGAAAGAGATGAACTGATTTATCAAACAACACGCTCAGATAACCCTGCAGTCAACAAATATTTCGAATAAAGCATGCACTAATGCAAACAAATCTCCATTATAGGAAGGATATCTTTGCAGGGACGACAAGATGACACACAGGAAGAACTATAATACACACAAGTTAAATGTGTTTTGGCACATTTGTGTTTTTATATCTGCATCGTTTCTGAAGCTGCAGCAAGTTTTCTCCTAATGGAAATGTTTAGGTCCGTTGTAACGCGTTTGCACCATTCGGCCACCGCATTTTCAAATAAAAAACAAGGTTTAATTTTCTGTAAATCACATATTTTGACCGCAAATGCCCGAAAAACAGAGTTGCACTTGTAGTGAAGTTGGCTTCAAAGGTGATGATTTTTATTATAAAAAGAGTCAAACAAGGACACGAGTTGCACCGTTGACGGAGAGTAATAGTATAAATCATTTGATTTTTAATATAAGAAAGCTTTATTTCCCTGTTTTTATTTCGGTTTCTTCCCAAGGCGACACACAGGAACAAATATAATGTATAAAATAACAAAAAGATAATAATGAAAATGTTTTTGGGCTTTTGTATTTGCATCGTTTCTTAAAAGAAAAGATCTTAAAATACTTTATATCGACATTCTGTTTCTTTGCATATTTGCCTAACTCGTCATTTTCTCTAGACGGCAGCTGATTTTAAGTTTCTACGACAAGTCCCTTCCTTTAAACCTCACATTCACTCAAGGTCACCAGGAGAAGACGGATTCCTCCCTCGTTGAGATAAGCCTTGGGGCGGGAGCACATATTTCAGATGTTTCTGATGATAATCGGCTCTATACGGGAAGTGATTAAAGCACTTTGTCTTCAGTCATACCTGCCTCGTCCGATCCTGGCCTCTGATGCCTATCTGAAGCTGTTTCTCTCTGCAGAGTACATCTCCGTCTGCACATCTCCGTCTGCACATCTCCGTCTGCACATCTCCGTCTGCACATCTCCGTCTGCACATCTCGGTCTGCACATCTCGGTCTGCACATCTCCATCTGCACATCTCCGTCTGCACATCTCGGTCTGCACATCTCGGTCTGCACATCTCGGTCTGCACATCTCCGTCTGCACATCTCCGTCTGCACATCTCCGTCTGCACATCTCCGTCTGCACATCTCCGTCTGCACATCTCCGTCTGCACTTCTCCGTCTGCACATCTCCGTCTGCACATCTCCGTCTGCACATCTCCGTCTGCACTTCTCCGTCTGCACATCTCCGTCTGCACATCTCCGTCTGCACATCTCCGTCTGCACATCTCCGTCTGCACATCTCCGTCTGCACATCTCCGTCTGCACATCTCAGTCTGCACATCTCCGTCTGCACATCTCCGTCTGCACATCTCCGTCTGCACATCTCCGTCTGCACATCTCCGTCTGCACATCTCCGTCTGCACATCTCAGTCTGCACATCTCCGTCTGCACATCTCCGTCTGCACATCTCCGTCTGCCTCAAAACGCTGAAACGCTGAAGACAAATCAAACAGACACACAGGAAACAGTTTTGGGATAAAGCTCTGTTTGGGTTGGTCACGTACATTCCTGGGCAGATGACTGATTTGTAATCCTTAAATTACTCATTATATTGTCATTTGACCCAATGTTGACACGAAGAAATTAATCAGTAAAGCCTTCTAACATTAAAAACACATTCTATCATTTAATTGAAGGTCTTGTTGCAACAACTGTGCCTGTTTTCCTGTATGAACACATTCAGTATTCTCCTCTGCAGGTCTTTACATGTATAAGACGTTTAATTATAGGAATAAGTGCATTTTTAAAACCTTTTAGAGTTGACTGTTCTTCACTCTGTCCTGCATGGAGCTCATTTATCTTATGTAGCATCTGTAAGCATTGCTCCCTGACTTTCTTTGGACTAAATTCAATCTAAATTGCGATTGCAAAACATCCTTTTTTAGAGATGTAATTTAAGGCTAGTAGTTCTTGTTGTGGTCCAAAGCGCACCTCGCTTTTGTCCTCTTATATCTAAAGGTAATTGAAGTTTAATTGTATGCATTTTTTCACAAATTATCAACTTTGCTTCATCCTTTAGCATTTCTCCTAAGACTCTCTTTGCAATCAATCAAGTTGGATTGCATTCAGTCCAAACTCCTTTTCAGAGGTAAAATGGATTCGATTAGAAGCATTTATTGTCATTATACAAGTACAACGAGAAGAGTAAAGCTACTCCTTGTGCCAACCGAACATTCAGAATAGACAACATACAACACATAACATAACAAAATAAAGTGCAGGAAATGATCCAATTAGTAGAGTATAGTAAATATAGAAAGTATCCAATACCATAAAAATTCAACTTGCAAAATGTTAAACAAATCAGACCTTAACTGTCAATGCTGCAAAGTCATACCTCCACTGTATGATTCTATCCCACATTGAATACTGTTTGACAAACTGGTCGTTTGCTTGCGCCACAAACCTGAAACCAATAGAACAGCTGTACAAGAGAGCTATCAAGGTGTTTGACAGAAAGCCACATTCATACCACCACTGTACCATCCTTGATAAACACCATTTCTTGAGCTTTGACAATTTTAAGTCTTTTAAAAGTATGTGTTTTATTTATAAATGTTAACACAGGGGTATCTCCTCTTGCATTTTAACACAGGGGTATCTCCTCTTGCACTTGATATGTCGTAGCTGCTACATTGTACTGCCATGTCATAAATACGTGTGTGTGCTGCTCTTGCTCTTTCTGCATATCATGTATTTATTTTTTGCTATGTTTATAAATGTCATGTTCTTATATGTTGTATGTCAGGGACTACGGATGGAAATGAGCTCAAAGCTCAAATCCGGCATGTTTACACTTGAAGCATTATTTGTTTAAAGTGTTCATCAATGTGCACTGTCCCTGTTCAAATATACGATTAAATGAAATGAAATGAAATATGTATGTGTGTATAATAAATGATATATATTGCACATGTATGGGTTAGGGTTCAGTGCCATGCTCTGGGGAAGAAACTGTCTTTGAGTATTAAATAAACTGGCTTGCTGGTCGTTCTCAAGAACTCTTGTTGGGTCCAAAGTGTTGAACAGAAAGAGAAAGTGACAGAGCGTTTATAACAGGACCTTTTTTTAATAAATAACAATAACTGGCAGTTTATTAACATAAAAACCACAGTATCCATCCCCATCGAAAGACTCCTTCAAGCTAAATTAGACAAGTCCGACCTAGAAAGAAAGAGACCTATAATCACTAGGTCGTTCTCAAGAACTCGTGTTGGGTCCAAAGCATTGAACAAACAGACTAAGTGACACAGAGCGTTTATAACAGGACCTTAATTTAATAAATAACAATGACTGGCAGTTTATGAACATAAAAACCACAGTAACCATCCCCATCGAAAGAACATACTGTCTCTTTCTTTGTGTGTGCTTTGTTGGAAGTTGAGGAAGTCAGTGTTAAGGTTTTGTTTCTACTTGTGAATCAGACCTGTTCTGTGTGCTAGCTTTCTGAGGGCATAGAAGATCAAACAGCTGGATCAGAGGTACAAAGCATCACAGGGTTTGAACTCATCTCAGGGGAGAGGGCTGATCTGAAGTGATAAGAAAATCAAAGTCTGAGCAAGAAGAACAAAGCTGGAACAAGAGTGTGAGGTCTGGGTCAGAGGTGGGAAGTAGTGGAGTACAAATACTTTGTTACTGTACTTCAGTACATTTTTCTGGTATCAGTACTTTACTCCACTACTTATTTATCTGACAACTTTTTACTTTGACTTCTTACATTTTGAACACAAATACCTGTACTTTCTACTTCTTACATGTTGAACCCAAATACCTGTACTTTCTACTTCTTACATTTTTAACACAAATACCTGTACTTTCTACTTCTTACATGTTGAACACAAATACCTGTACTTTCTACTTCTTACATGTTGAACCCAAATACCTGTACTTTCTACTTCTTACATTTTTAACACAAATACCTGTACTTTCTACTTCTTACATGTTGAACACAAATACCTGTACTTTCTACTTCTTACATGTTGAACACAAATACCTGTACTTTCTACTTCTTACATGTTGAACACAAATACCTGTACTTTCTACTTCTTACATTTTCCAAACAGGCTGGTTCCTTTAGTTTGAATGTGTGTTTGGTGGCGTGATCATTATTATTTAGAGTCATTGCGTGCCTATTGATTTGAACACGATCCGTGTATCCATCATTTCCTGGTCTTCTCTAAAGAAGAGGGACCAATGAAAACGTTGTCATGTTGCCGTTGTTCAGCATGGAAACATTCATTAGCTAACAATGACATTATTGTTCTATTAATATAAAGGGAGGTCAGGTACTCTTTAAAACAGATGCTAGTTATGGGTACTTTTTACTGAAGTACATTTCAAAGCCCTCTTTACTTTTACTTGAGTAAAGAAGTTTAGTCAGTACTTCTACTTTCACCAGAGTATTTCTAAACACGAGTATCTGTACTTCTACTTGAGTAAAGGATGTGAGTCAGAGATTTGGATCTGAAACTGAATCCTGTAGAATTGTTTTTCATGCACCGTGTTCATGAGATCATGCAACTATTCAGGAAGGGAAACACACCAATATCTCACCCTCAGACTTTGCTAAAAATAGTGGATAATTTGCAGAGCGAGCTGGCAGTAGACATTAATGGTTTGCATCCATTAGCTTGGTTGCGCTCAAATTGGCTGCAGGAATATAGTTAGTGTTTCCTATTTAGATGCATTAGCTTAATGCTCTTCATTGGGAGAAAATAAGTGTCAGAGGAAGTAATTCAAACTTCCATGAGCTAATTAGTTTTGTTTAGAAAAACACCGGGCATGCTGGGAAATAAAGTAATCAACACGTTAACTGAGGTGTTGTGTTTTTGATTTTAATTTTAGAATAACTCTTTGGATATTGTTAAGCCAAGTTACATGAGAAGCTCTTTTCTGTGTGTTTGTTTCATATTCAGACACACACACACACACACACACACACACACACACACACACACACACACACACACACACACACACACACACACACACACACACACACACACACACACACACACACAGACACACTGTCTCAATTTTAGAGACAAGACCAGTAATGACTTTTGTCTTTCTGTCAAGGTTCTAAATCTTAGTGAAATGTTTAAGATGCACAGTTTGGATTAACGGTACATTTTTTGTATACATATATTCTACAGAAATGTGTCAGAGATGTGTCCTGTAGTATTTATATTATCCAGAATATTTGATATTGTTTATATTTAATATACAAATGTTCATTGTCATTGAAATGTTTAAATGTTAATTCTCTATTCCACTTTTTAAGTATTTGTATTTTAATGTTGAACCCACTGCTTATGTAACAAAATAATTTCCCAAATTGGGATTAATAAAGTATATCTATCTATCTAAAGTATATCTATCTATCTAAAGTATATCTATCTATCTAAATACTGTATGCATTTATTTATTTTATTACTTTTATTGATCTTATTTTGATTTGATTTGATTTGATTTATTTGGAACGTGTAAAATAATAATACAAACAAATAATAATAATGAAATGAAACATGAGAATTATTATACGGTTCAAACTTAAGCAGTGTCAAATTGATAAACAAAAATATTACTGATTCTAAATTATATATAAACAAATGATCTACTTAATTAATTACACATCAGAAAAGAGGAGGGAAGAAGTTTACACTTATTTGATCCCACCCCTTCTCCCAAAAACTAAATTATTAACATATATATATATTTCAATTTTTATTAGAATAATGTGCGACTGTCACAAAACCTACAATTTCCCCCTGAGATTAATAAAGTATTTTGATTGATTGGTTCATTAGATTTGGAGGACTTGTTCCAATCAGCATGTCTGTGCAAATCCTCTGAATAAGCAGTAAGTCATGAGGTGAACTAACATTTTATAACTCGTCCAATTCCAACTTTTGATGAAAGCGCATGCCTTCACTGTTTGTTTCCTCCTCCAGCTCTCCACATGCACAGCTGTTTGCTCTCAGCCGCTGCCATGATGCTGTCTGGAACGAGCAATAACACATTTCGCCGGAAGGTAAAACAACACTTGTGAACATGTGGTATTAAGTTAGTGAGTCCTTTATGTCGCAGCGTGATATGACGATATGTAAAAGTTCAAATCGAGATTGGTTCAATCGGCCCCGGAAGCTAAAAACGGCTCTCTTTCTGCTCTCTTTCTGCTGGTAATTGATCTGGCAGCGCCACTAACCATCTGGGCTGCAGACTCTTCAAACACGCTGGGTAAAAACTGACTTTGGACGGGCAGTAAACACTGAGCTGACTGCAGAACCAACACGCTTTAATACTGCCTCCACTGAGAGGGTTCTCCTTCTGCAGCGAGGAACACTCCTGCCAGGAATAGCTCTGTGTTTCTCAACGATTAAAGGCCTGGAAATGTCTGAGTTATAC